CCTCTGAGTGTATGACTACCCCCGTTTAAAAACAAAACTGCCACCCTGTGTTTCTTACTGCTCAAACTGTTGCTTTACACTTAAATCTGTCGTAAAGGCATCCCTTCTAGGCTTGTAGCTTCTCACGTCTTTCTTCATCTCTGCTTAGATCCAATGCAGTCGATTTTACAAAGTCTAGAGCAACAGCACGAAGAGGAGAAGCGGTCGGCCCTGGAGCGGCAGAGGCTTATGTACGAGCACGAACTAGAACAGCTCCGAAGGCGCTTGTCTCCAGAGAAACAGCATTTCCGCACCATGGACAGGTTTTCCTTCCATTCTCCCAATGCGCAGCAACGTTTACGGCAATGGGCGGAAGAGAGGTGGGTGAAGGGAATGAACCCAGTTCTCAGAGGCCTGGTATTTTTCCCTGTTCTCGTCTTTAATGTGAAGAATATTCATCTTGGCATGTATTTGGATTAAGGCAATAGATGGATTTTATACATCACTGAATAAAAATAACTTTCTTATTAGCAAAAAGGAAATTGTTGCATGCTTCTGAATTGCACATTGCCATTGAAAGGAAGCACTTGGGGTATTTGCACAGATTTCTAAGAACAAAGGATTTGGGGCTGAAGATGGGATGTTGAGTGCATTGTATTGCAGACAAGGATTCTGAGGTTGATGGAAGAGAATTCCACACATCTCATGGAGAATCCTAGGCGACCTAGGAGTGGTTCTGTGCGACATAATAATGGGAAGCCCTTCCGCATGTATGATTTGATTTATTCATCCAAAGATGGGATGATCATGCCCTGTGAACATTTATACAAATCACTATCAAGCACTGCAGGATTTTCTGAAGCAGCAGAATGCTTACCATTATGAAGAGGAAAATTTGCAGGGAGGGAAGACCCTAAACAAACCATATCATCTAAACCAGTCCTGTATTACTACAGCTGGAGTGGAGGATATGTGGACCTCCAGAGTTTCTGGCCAGCAATTCACATGCATGCTGCATTGCAGCCAATTGCACAGATGGCCCCTAGTTCAGAACAAATCTCAAAACTGGTGCAAAAATGGTCAACTGATTTGCACCAGAACAAAACATCCTTAGCAATGTGATTATTGGAATGTGTTTTAAATTAAAATTTCCTTTAAATTCCATCTCCCTTTGTCTCTTTCCCTTGTTTTGCAATAGAGAAGAGATGCTGAACCACAGCTTGCGGAAACTGAGGGAGCAGATTATGAAGGCCAACTTGTATGTTAGAGAAGCCAGTTTCATTGCAGAAGAGATGGACAAAAGAACTGAATACAAGGTCACTCTCCAAATCCCAGCCTCAAGCCTTAATGCAAACAAAAAGGTAAGGCACTTAAGCCTATTCAGACATAAATGTCATCTGCCAGTATTCAGTCCAGACCAATATTTCCTTCTGTTCCAAAGGTGATGTTTAAGCAGTGTATAGAAACTTTCTTGTCTGTTGACCTAGTGGGATGTACATAAAATAGGTGTAGGTGTACAGCAGGGTGAAGGGCAGTTCACAGCCAGTTCAGAACAGTAAAACTCTAGCAATTAAATGATTTATTTACTTATTGTGATTAGAATCATGCATGTAACTGTCTGCACTGGCTCTACATTTATTGATGTGCAGTTTTACTACTCATAGGCTAGTTTAAAGGAACATAGTTAATGTAATGACTTATTTAAATCCTTTTCTGGTTTCACCTATTATATTGAATGATAAATTAACCAAACAAGCCATTAAACTAGTAAAAAACTAACCAAAATTAAAGTTAACCAAGCTTTGAATTTTTGCAAACCAACTGTTAGGTTTTTAACTGACCTGGTCAGGCATGTTCTCTGGCTCGCTATGTGACTATGTAACCTGCATGGCATTCCTTTTTATTTATATAAGTAAAAAGGCTGCAGACTTACCAGTGTTTTAAAAAGGGGAGAGGAAGCTCAAGTTTCAAGAAAAGAATGTGGAAAATATGCCAAGGTCTGTGTCCTTCAGTTCTCCCCCTCAATACAGTCTCTACTGAAATTCAACTAGAGGAGAAAATGGTGAAAGAAATTGCAGGGTATTATCTCAAATGGAGAGAATGTTTAATATCACAGTACATATTATCATTTGCTGATGTGATGTTCCTATCAGACACCAAAAAACCCCTAAATGAATCTTATGATGAGTGAAGTGCTGATTCAGTCATAATACCAGTTCAATTTAAATGTTTCTGTTCAGTCTGTCATTGACAATTTTCTTAAAAGGTGGAAAAAAACACCTTTTAAAATGTAAGTGTAGCAACTGTGGGCTGACTTGATTAAATTTCTTCTCCAGAGAAAAGGAATCTCCCTCCATTTTCACTTTTGGTTTTCTCCGTTGCTGCTTATGGGTTACTGTTCTGTATTCAAAAATCTCCTTATGTGACTCTGTTTTAGTTAAGCCATTAATTTTGCAGAAGTCTTTCTTTGGGTTCATTTAAAATACATAGCCAAATGTGTGTGTCTTGAAGGTTATATAATTTATAATAATAAAATATTCTCTTCCAAATCAGATGGTGGTCTTTTTGTCACATTCTGTTCCTGAGATTTTTTAATTTTATTTTATTGTGGGGGCAGAGAATTCAAATGTATTCCCAGGGTAAAATTTGTCTTGATTTTGAACTGAATATTTATCATGGCCAATAAAACAGGAATAAACCCAAACAAGATACTGAAACTTGGTTACAAGGGAAAATAGGTCATATTACATAAAGTATGCCAAGTGTAAAAATTTAATATAACTCTGACAATACAGTAATTGCTACCTTAGGGCCACTGACAAAAACTTAGCCACTTTAATAACATCCTTGGAATGTGGTTAATCAACAAACATTTAACATAAAATTTGGCAGACCTGTCAGATAATGAAGTTAATGGTGAGGAATCATTCCTTGAGGAACTCCAACATAAAAATTACAGAACAAAAGGGTATATTTGACTATTTAACCTCTTATAACACCACAAATTTGCACAGGAAAAAAAAGCCTTTATATCTTCCCTGGAGGGTGTGAGAAGATAATACATGAAATCAAGCCAAAGAAGAGGCTTGCCAATCTTAAGCTGTATTCAAGTTCTCAAGATAGGTAACAAAAAGGTTTTTCCTTATTTGGATTGACTGTTTTCCCTTCCTTTTCTTCTTCTTTCTCTTTGCATTTCTTCCTCCTCCTGGGTGTTTTGTAGCGAGGTGCCGTGCTTAGTGAGCCAGCCATTCAGGTGAGACGAAAAGGGAAAGGCAAACAAATCTGGTCCCTGGAGAAGCTGGAGAACCGATTGGTTGATATGCGAGACCTCTATCAAGAATGGAAGGACTGTGAGGAGGACAACCTGGTATGTGGAGGAGGTGTGGGGACTGGGGTTAGGGTCACACTTTTCCTTAATCATTGAAATAGGGTTTGTCAGCCTAGCTTTCTCCAAATGTGTTGTATTGCAACTCCCATCTTCCTCAGCTAACCTGGCCAACAGCCTTGGAAGTTTGAAGTTTGTGTGCCTTTGAGTCAGTTTTGACTCTTGGAGGTTGTCTGGACAAGTCCCTGCAGTTTTCTTGGCAAGATTTCAGAAGTGGTTTGCCACTGCCTTCTTCCTAGGGCTGAGAGAGAGTGACCCGCCCAAAATCACCCAGCTGGCTTTGTGCCTAAGGTGGGACTAGAACTCATGGTCTTCCAGTTTCTAGCCTGGTGCCTTAACCATAATATGAAATTGGCTCTCAAAAACCTTGGAGGACACTAAATTAAACTCCAGCACATATGGAAGCCCCATGTTGAGAACAGTAGGTAAAGGAACATGTATCCATATATGAGATCCTTGGAGAAGATTATTCCTTTCCTGCTACTTTTTAGTTAAGTCTGGGCTGAAAATCCTTAAGAGAGATTTTTTTTTGCCCCAAAGTTGGGCAGGATGACAAAATTAAGAGAGAAGATTAAAAATATCTCTTCTCTTTTGTAGTTCTGGGAAGGGGGAGACTTCACAGGTGTAAAAGTCTGGATTTTCTTTGGTTTTCCTGTGCTGTTGGCCACAATGTTTAAATCCCAGTTATACCCTGAAAATGATGCTGTACCTTGGCATTAGGTTTCTCTGAAGGTGAGAAAATGTCAAGGTTCTGTAGGCTTGAACTTCACTCCATCCTTTAAGAGTGGCTGTCCACTTACCCACCCAGCCACCACAAATATACATGCATATAGACATTGTCAATCCAACCAGTGAGACAATGAAAAGAAGGTGAGGGGAGAAGGACAATTTTCATTGCAGCATTATTTCTTATCATTCATGTGGCATGTTCTGTTTGCAAAGGAAATATTTATCAGTGGCTTATCTTGCCTCAAAGCCATGTGAGGCAATTTGCCATCTCTATCGTACAAAGAGAACTTTCCTAAATGAAACTATGACTTTGTTTTATGAGAGTCATTGTGCTTTTTCATAATTAATTGCTGGGTCTTTGAAGATCCAGAAGTAATTACATAGATTGAACCAAAATAAAATTATCTGTGGCTTTTAAATAGGGCCATTAGAAGACTTAACTTTTTCCTTTTAACCAGGAAATTCTGCAGTGCTCCCATGAACTCATGTCTTTAAATATATTTCAGTTACAATAACACAGTAACACATAAAGCAAGCCTTAAGAGAAAGCCCAACACCCTTCTTTTCCTCCTCTATTTTCCCTCTTCTTCCCATGATCTAAGCCAACTTCTTAGACTTTCAACTTTACTACATCATTGTTTTCCCACTGCTTTACTGAGCAAGGTGAAACAGGAGGGTGGGTTGGTTGAATATTTTTTTCTGGTCTGGCAACCTTTCAGAATCTCAGGTAGAATTTTTGTTTCCCTTCATTCACTGCCTGATTGATGAATAAGAGATAGCAAGGAGTTCTTACACACTAGTATGGTCCTCTCTGGATGGGTTCATAACCTGGTTTCTTAAAATACCTACACCAAACTGGTTCTGGGTTGTAAACAACGTCTGAGTTGTGCCTGGGTTATGATTTATAAATAGTGTCTGGGTTGTGATTGTGTTAAGACAAAACCAAACAAATCACATGACTTATTGGGACATACACAGCTACCTTCAATGTGTCTTCATGTACATGCTCACAGGTGATTAAACCAGCCTTTCCAACATGCTGTCCTCCCAGAATTCCCCTCTAGCATGGCCTTTGTTCTGGAGGGCACAACACTGGGCAAGGCTGGATTGAACCATATCAGAGGCACCGTACTAAGGTGGCTGAAAAAGAACTGGGAAGATGAGGAATGGGTCTTTCTCATTTATTAAGATGTCTGTTGCAAGGGACGATATGATCCCCCAGCCAATTTGAACCTCTGGGGTAAGAGGATCTAATAATTGTAGACGTTTGTTGTTCACTCTTTTTTGGTCTCTGTTCCACTCAAGGTCATGAGGTCTTATTTCCGGCGAGCAGATCCTTTTTATGATGAGCAAAAGAACCACAGCCTCATTGGAGTGGCCAATGTCTTTCTCGAGTCTCTCTTTTATGATGTGAAGCTGCAGTATGCTGTGCCCATCATCAATCAGAAAGGAGAAGTATGCTTCTACATGATCAATTATTCAGTCATTACCTAGTCACATAATTACCTAGTTACTTATTTGAGAATTATAACTCTGTGCACGTTACAATTGATCTACTATCTTTTGACATAGATGCCTCTAATATAGGCAATTGCATTTCAGTGCTTCTTGGTTCTGCCTAATTTTCTTCCCCTGAGTTTGTCTTGGAAGGAATTGATTTGATAATTATATGAACTGTGTAAACAGGCATGACAAAGCTGATTTTTGAATCTGGGATAACCTCTCCTCTCTTCTGCACAGATTTCCTATAGGAGGCATGTTGACCAGTGTACAAGAAAAGTAGAATCATAGAAGACTAGTGTATGACTAGTTCTCATTAAACTGCTAAACCTGTGCTTAAGCCATACCATTTCCTACAGCAGGCGAAAATGCAGATGATGGAGTAATCCTTCATCTCCACAACTACTTCACACGTAGAATTCAGCACGCTAGTCTTATTATTTATGTGTGCATGGAGAAAATTTCACTCGTGATCCTTTCCGCCATGTACAGTGCATAAGCTAGTTCTCTAAATTAGCAATGCTCTTAGATGCAGAATTGAGCAGCAAAAGATGTCCCATGAACACTCTGCTGTAGGGGTGGACCACCCCTAGGCCAAATGCGGTCCCACAGCCCCCAGATTGCACCACTGAAATTTAGCAGCAAAGCCCAGAAATTTGCTGGCATACTTTTTCCTTTGTTTAGTTTAATTTTTCTGTGGAAAGAGAAAGAAAGATTGCAAAATGGTCATCAGAGTGCCTGCTGAGAGTCTCCCTCTTTCTTTGGTACATGGGGTGTAGACAAGGCAACAGGCCTTTCACTTTATAGAACTCTCCCCCCCTACCCAAGGTACATGTACCTCCCACTCCTGGCTTTTCATAAGCAAGTTAAAACAATCTTATTCCATTGTGCCTTTGGCCCGGACTGAGTGGGGGCACATGACGATTTTTACTAGGAATGTTAATGTATTAAAGGAGGCTTGTTTTAACTGTGTTGTTATTGTTACAGGTAGTCCTTGCTTAACACCATTCATTTAATGATGGTTCGAAGTTACGATGGCCTCAGAAAGGGCGCTTTATGGCACGTAAAGCACTTCTGGCCATCATAAAACGTTGCGCTTCCCCCCCTCGTGGCCGCATGGCCGCATTTCAGGCGCTTGGCAACTGGTTTGCATTTACGACTGGTTGCCGAGTGCCCTGTGATCGTGTGATCGCCATTTGCAATCTTCTCTGCTGGTTTCCCCATTGGAAGCTGGCAGGGAAGGTTGCAAGTGGAGGGGACACAGCAGTGTGCGGGAACGGAGCTCAAATCCTGAAGATTTGAGCTCCATTCCTTCACACCACTGAGAGGTTTCCCCTCTCCACTCAGCCATGTGAAGGAACAGAGCTCAAATCTTCAGGATTTGAGCTCCGTTCCTCCAGCCCCAGGAAGGATTTCCCTTCCATCTACGGAAGGGAGGGCAAACTCTTTGGTGGGCTTTAGGAACATTTGAGAATAAAAGGGCTGTCTGCCAGGAGGATTTCAGCTCTATGCAAAGCTGAAACTCTCTGGCAGGCAGCTCTTTCGCTCTCAAAGAGCTGCCTGCTGGGAGGATTTCAGATGCGCGCTGAGCTGAAATCCTTCAGCAGACAGCTCTTTCACTCCATCCGCTTAACAACCCAGGAGATTGCTTAACGACCACAACCAGGAGTGTCTGGATTGTGGTTGTTGAGCGAAGCAGTCACCTGGGCATCTCGCTTAATGACGCTTCACTCAGCAACCAAGATTCTGGTCCCAATTGTGGTTGTTAGGTGAGGACTACCTGTATGTTGTTTGCTATCCAGTGTCCACTGGGAGTGAAGCAGCTTAGAAATGCTGTAAAACAAACTTTAAGCTTCTCCTAAGCTTAATACTCCTTTTACATAAACCCCCCACCCTTGAAGGACAATTTCCCTTGACATCTCTGATGTTATCACTAGGCTCTATGATCCTTGAAGCTGAATGAGAAGAAAGAAGAGGTTACTTTTCCCAGTTTACTGCCACTTGCCTCTCCACTGGATTCACACAGAAGATTAATCCCTTGATAATTGCCTTGCTATTCTTGGAATATATACAGCATGGATATTTACATTACTGTATTGATGGTACATCTCCCAGTTCAGGGCATGGGAAGCTACATGAAGGATGGCACATTCAATTTTTACTTTTAATTTCTTGTATATGTTAAATGCCTGATAGAGTGATTTCCCCCCAGCACTAAACAATCACTTAAAAACATAATACTGCAGTAGACATCACAATAAGTCATTTCAAGCCCAGTGCAGAGTAACAAGCTCAGATAAATACATAGCAACACAATTTATTGGAGCTAAAAGCAGCCCATAGCCCCAGAACTTTAAACTAGATTACAGACATTAAATTATAGATCTTAAAAAGCCCTGGAGAAAAAAGAAAATTGAAGTCTAGTATGTCCTGAGGCAGAACAGTGGAAAACTTTAAATCCCTCTGAACAATCTATACTACTGTTTGGGGCAGCATGCCTTGATTAGGGTTCTGCTAACGTAGTGTATTCGTTTCCAATAACATAGTTTATTTGCTTCCCAAAACCTTATCTCTCCTATCTATGGGATTTGTACCCCATCAGGTAGCAGGTCGCCTGCATGTTGAAGTGGTACGTGTGAGTGGAGACATTGGGGAGAGAATTGCAGGAGGTGACGATGGCTTGGAGGGCTGCTTCGAGAATGATCTACAGGAGCACAAGTTAGTGTGCATGGTGAGTCCTAGAAGAGCCTCCCTAATTCTGCTTTTCCAGAATGAACAGTTTGGCAGAGAAAAGCCTGCCTGTCCTGAACTGGGTGCTCTCTGGATTATAATTTTCATTATCTATAGCTATTCTGGAGAGCCAGTTTGGTGTAGTGGTTAAGGCATCAGGCTAGAAACCAGGAGGCCCTGAGTTCTAGTCCTGCCTTGGGCACGAAGCCAGCTGGGTGACCTTGGGCCAGTCATTCTCTCTCAGCCCTAGGAAACAGGCAATGGCAAAACCACTTCTGAAATCTTGCCAAGAAAACTGCAGGGACTTGTCCAGGCAGTCACCAGGAGTCAACCCTGACTCAAAGGCACCAAAAAACAAACCCCTATTGCGACTGCTGGGTGTGCTGGCTAGAGGTAGTGGGTATTGTGTAATATATTGGGAGGGCAACAACTGGAGGAAGAGTGGCCTTAATCAATTTTAATTATAATTGTTGGAGCTGTGAGGCCAAAGCAATTTGTCACTGTTGTGTTTAGCCCAGTTGTACTCTTTTGAGTGTACTCATTGTAGAAGTTGTATTTAAACCAGAGAGTTTAGGTAGCTCAAGGTACATACCTTCCACTGTTTTTCTCAACTGTCACAAAGACAAATATGTCAGTTGTATTAATTATTTTGGAGCAAGGTTCTGTCTTCAAATCCAGTCTTCTGATTTGGTTTCTGTTTTATAGTGAAGCAATCTTTGAGATTCCCAAATCTGCTCATATAGTGACCCCTGGTGGAGATGTTTATTTAAGGCAGATTTTATTTAAATACTGTTAAATGTGGAAGCCTCTGGCTTTATAAGATAAACATTAGTCTGAACAAACTAGCTCGGCTACATTTTGTATGAACTAGACAACCCATGACCCATTGGGTTGTTTCAGAGATATTTCCTTACCTAAACAGGTAAACAGAATGACCAAGGGCAAAAAAGCAGTTGGAGTGGGAGTGACTTGTGACTGGCTGGTGGGTTCCCCATTGACTTTGCTTGTGGGAAGCTGGCAGGGAGTGTCAGAAATCCATCCTTCCTCCCACCCTCCCTCCATTTCCAAATATTATATAGGCTTGCGCCATTTGCACTCCCCTCATGACCCTCAGGAGAGCCCCAGTGAAGCTGCTGCCACTGCCTCCTCCTCCTCCTCCTCAGCTGACCAGTGGAACTACCTGCCACTTTGCTGGGAGAAGGTGGAACAAAGGGAGCTGCGGACTGTGAGGAAAACTGCACCCCCACTCCCCATTCTGGCAGTCCCCAAGGGACCACTCCCTTGAGGGAGGAAGAGGGCTCACCCATCGACCACTGGCACCTGCCCCCCAGCCAGCCCTACCTCGCCAGCAGGCTTCCAAGTCGCTTCCTTATCCTTCCCTCAATGCCCTCAGCCATTAAGAAATTTCAGATTTCTGCCTTGTTTCCAAAGCAGCCAATCACCACTCGTCCGTCTGGCCTTGCCGCCAGCCGATTGGGCACAGGGGACAGGGAGGCAGGAAAGAGGTCAGGGATATGCCCAAGACAATCACATGACTTTTGCTGACTGTGTGGCACAGCAGTGCTGAAGCAGCCACAAATCCCCCAAATTTCAATCCCACGGGAGTCATGGGTCCCGGATTTTGGATGCATTCGGTAAGTTAGCCCATTTGAGGTACCTTGGATCAAAAATTGTTGCCCTATGATGCACCGTTTTGCCCAGTTGAAGGTTACAGACCCAAGAGTTTTAGTGATATATAGATTGTTATTGAATGCAATCTATTAATTACTTTATTTATTTTAGTGACCTCTGTATGTGTTATGTGCCTCTTTTAATCCTCCAGATTAAAATCCTTCAAGCTACTGGTTTGCCTCAGCATCTCTCCAATTTTGTGTTCTGCAAGTATTCTTTCTGGGACCAACTGGAACCTGTGATAGTGGCCCCTGAAATGGATCCCTCTCTGTCTCCCATCAGCAAGGAACCACGGTGCATGGTTGTCTTCGATCATTGCAATGTAATTGTACTATTGCTTTTACTGCTATCTCAGGATCACAACTTCAATTTCATGATTAAAGTGTTTGCTAGGATGGGGTGAAAAATGCTTTCTTACTAGCCTCATTCAGATATAATGCTAAGTTGTAATGTTTGTGCGTGGGGGGGAGATACAGAGTGATATGTAATGTGAACACACATATTATGGTGTAGCATTATGTGTGACCTCAGTCACTATGGGCTGTTCAAAAACTCGTGATTTTAAAAATCCTGACTAGGTATTACATGTGAGTGGAGCTATGTATGTCCCTCACTTCAAGCTTGAAATTCTGCTAGTTGTAACAAAATGGGAATGAGTTACATACTTGGCAGCCCATTCATTTGAAACAAACAAACCAGATATAGTTTAGTATAACATCCAAATGAAGGATACTGATTTGTTACACCTAAAGAATTTACTAGATTCATAAGCCAGTTTTAAACCAGTTGTTAGCTTATAAATCTTGCCATGTGGGGCCATAATGAATTATAATCCTGCATGTCACACTGTTTTGTTGGTACTTTATGTATTTACCTGTTTCTGTAACCAGGATTGAAAATATGGCCTGAGTAAGCATACAGCTGGTTCCTGTTTGTGGTTTTATGCCAGGATTCCTGGCTTAAAGTGGCATACTCCTTTGTGTTGCTCCAAACCCCTCTCCTTTTTTTCTTTCCAGCATGTACTAGGCTAACCATGATATATATGCTCTACCTATTTATTTAGAGTATTTCTAGGATGCCACATAATTGAAATTCTCTGGATGGCTTCCCTCAGGAGTTAAAATAGAATAATAAAAAAATCAAACACTGCCTATAACTAACTAGTGGCAGAGATTTTTAAAACTCAAAAATCAGCAAGTATCCTTACATTTTTATCATACATGTAGAACTTTGAAACTCTAGAGGAGTGTTTCTCAACCTTGGCAACTCTAAGATGTGTGGACTTCAACCACCAGAATTCCACAGCCAGCTTTGCTTTGCTGACTGGGGAATTCTGAGAGTTGAAGTCCACACATCTTAAAGTTGCCAAGGCTGAGAAACACAGCTCTAGAAATTCAAAACTAACAGGATCTTTAAGAGCTTTGAGAGTTCTTAAAAAACATCTATGTCAAAAGCCTCAAAAAGCCTGAAACAAAGGGGAAAAAATGTTGTTCACTGAAAAGAATATCAGGTAGGCTGAGCTTGTATCGGAAAAGCATTTTATAACCAAGAGTTTAGCACTGGAAGGAAGAGACATTTTGTCTTTAGTGGCCACCCTCTGAATTTCACAGGGCGAGGACAAGGGTTCTACTAAGGACCAAAATCCAGACAGAATATGAGAGAGGGTGTGACTCTAAGTCCCAAACCATTTAGAGCTTTAGAAATCAAAACCAGGATTTTGCCCTGGATCTTGGAACAGACTAGAAACAATAGGAAAGGACACCACAGTAGGGTAATAGGATTATCCCAGTTAACAAATGTCTAGCCCTGGAAAACATATGTGCTATATCAGATGTGAATCAGGCTTGCTGTCTCTTATTTGCTGAGCTGCAGTGTTTTTCATGGGCCATTTGTCTTCTGTGGACTCTTAAAGGTACAAAAGGCTATTCTGGAGAAGCCTATCTCAAACCAATGGATCCCTCCCTTTTTTCACATTAAAAGTGATTTTTAAACGTAAGCAAGTTCTTCAAGCCGCCTATAGTTTTGCTTAGCCTAAAATATGCATACCATGCCGTTAAAATCAAAATGAATTCTTATGACTTACGAAATTGAAATATTCTGATTTTCTTCTTTAAAAAAGCCCTTAGTGAAAAAAATAGAAAAGCAATTCAGAGCTTTCAAGAACAAATTACTCATTCAGTATACTGCTGACCAGTGTGAGCTCTCTCTCGTCCTCTTTTCCAGCACTTTCAAAATACTGTTTAAAAACAGTTTTAATTAATGTCAGCACCAAACCAGCCATGTTTTTGATGCTGACCAACTATATCTCAGCTGCTTCTGGCACTGATCATAAAACGCAGCAGATTCAGACTGTTGAAAGTGATTCTTGATGTAGCTTAGGCTCAAAGAAGTCACAGTGGCCTTCCACCACCCGGTACCCTTTGGATATGTAGCATTGTATTCTCCACCACGCCATCTTGAAGACAACAGGTTCATGAAAACTAATTTAGCAGATGGAAATGTTTCTAAAGACCTGCTCATATCTAACGCTACTCTAATCATAACAAGAGCCCAGTAAGCTAGACCTACATTATTGCCATTGTATTACAGATGGGTGATATTGATATACCCGTTGAAGCTGATAAAAATATTATCTACACATACTGAAAGCTCCAAGATGTGGCAGTCTAAGTTGCAAGAATAATTTCTCTCTATATAAAAAATCCTCTTTCCAAAAGACTGCTGGTTAATTGCCTGTCCAAGCTGTCCAATCAGGAAATATCACATGGAAGAGAGAAATGAATTCATCATAATGAAAAGCAATAATAAATCAGCAAAAGTAGGGCAGCAAATTCCATCCATTAATTTGTGCTGTGTTTCCCCCTGTGGTTTGGTTCAGGATTCCAAGCATAAAGCTTTCTAAATTGCTCTCTAGATCCTTCTGGTACTCCATTTATCATAGTGATTTAAGCTTTCTGTTAAGGTTGCATATCTCGGCTATTGACTGTTCCAGTTCAGATATCCTGTTGTGACTAATGGATGCTAAAATTTTTACCCCCTTATTTCAGCCTCCATATGCTAAAAAATCCACAATAGTAGGGAGGGAAGTGAATGATGCACTATCATTTTTCTCCTTTTCTGACCAGGAATTCTCTATCAATATTACTGAAGATTTTATGGAATATCTTTCTGATGGTGCCCTAGCCATTGAAGTATATGGACACAAACAGTGTGATCCTCGCAAAAATCCAGCATTGTGGGATTTAGGAATAATTCAAGCCAAAACACGAAGCCTCCGAGACAGGTAAAAGAGATGGCACTTAGTTGATAAACACATTTAAAACTTGTGGGGAAAAAACTGTTTAGAAGTCAGAGGAGCAGATTTATTAGCAAAATATGAATTATTGTTCACTTCCTTCCAATCTATTCCTCTGCCGCTTAGAATTCAGAAACCAAGGGCCATAGGGACCCATCGCTACCGTCTCTCCTTCCTGTTTGTTTTCTGCCACAACTCCTTCTCCCTTCACTTCAATCACTGCCTTTCTAAAATGTCAAGCTTCTTTTATAACTATAGAAATTGAGTGATTTTTACTTGAAAAATGCAGCTCTTTTCAAAATGTGAATGCCAATGTAGGCAAAATTTGATACTCTAAGTAACTTAGGCATAACCACAAGGGAAATTTAAATATGTTTTCCCAATTGAAGTGAAGCTGCACGGAAGCTATTTCCCCTTTCGATGTTTCTTTCCCAGGCATGCACACATATGCTCACTTCCTTGCTCTCTTTCTTGCACATATATGCTCCCACTTCCTCTCTTTCATACAAACACACTTATACTTGCAAATATCTCTTCTCTTGATGTTTAGTTTCCAAAGAAGAGTAAAATCTTTGGTGCACTCTTCCAAAAGGCAGAGTAGTTCATCTGTCCCAGAAATTGTGTTTTGGCAGGTGGAGTGAGGTCACCCGCAAAGTGGAACTATGGGTTCAGATTCTGGAACTCAATGAGAATGGAGAATACTGTCCAGTAGAAGTAATTCCAGCAAAGGATGTACATACAGGTGGCATTTTTCAGCTCAAGCAGGTAAGATGGTAAAGAAGACCATCAATAATATCAACTGTTATTACTCTGCCTGGCCTACTATATCCTCTTTTTAGTGGAATGGTTGATTGACCACATAGACACTATGAATCTGGCTTTTGTCAAATGATATTCAGGCTACTCTTCCTGTGGTGACATGAACAAGCATAGGCTACTTAGCTCTCACCTTCCCATTTTTTGCTCTGGCTGTTCTGAACTCCCCTGAGGGAGGCTAAGCTTGTTCACATCACAGAATTCTTCCCTTGCTACCCTGTAGATAAATCTCAATTCCTTGGACCTCCATTAAGTGGATTTTGGATTCAGTGGACATTTTAATTTGGACTTCTCACCCAACTACAGACAAAGTATGTTGTTTCCAAGTCAGCCCAGAGAATTGATGTAATTTATGTCATTTGCATAATTACAGAATTAACCTTTTATATCTTTTCAATATATTTGCATAATGAATGCAAACAATGTGATTTAACAGATATTTGAAGTTAATGAATATCCCTTCCACCTTCTGAGGTATGACTGATAGTTTTCTATAGGAAGGGCTCTGTGGGTTGAAAAAGCATTCCCTCTATGTGAATCTGCCCAGCTCAGCTTTTAGCTGCATTTGCACAACATAGAAATCTTAATTAGCATCAGCCGTCATTAGGGTTAGCATTGGGCAAGTTAAAACCAATCGGTTAGTTTGTGCTTCAGTATATTGTGCAAACTTAGAAGATGAATTAATTCAGTTACTAGGTTATGTGTATTGCGTGAAAGCAGCCAATGAGAACTTTATCTTAGAATCCATTCCTTTGATCAATTGCCATTGATCACGTGCACAGTGAATGAATAAACAATGTGCATACATGAGCAAACAAGACCAGTTGCATCACACCAAGTTGGCATTGCTATTTCCTTGCTTTCTAAAGTCTACACCATCAGTTAAAGAGTGATTCTAATGTAGCTTTCCCCATTCTGGCACCCTCCAGCTGTTTGGCATCTGCTACTTCCAGCAGTCCCTGCCTATTCCGATTCTGCGAGTTGCAGCCCCAAACACACTGGGAATGCTCCCATTCTGGTAGATGGAATGTTTTCAGGCTCATCTTTCAGGAGTAGTGTGAGATTGTTTTATTTTGCAGACTTAGGATCAGCTCTTAGTAGAGGATATAGCTCAGTAGTTTAGCACCAAGTTTACATAGATCAGAGGCCCAGGCTACAATGCGGCCAAAAGGAGCTCAGGTAGCTGTGTTGGAAAAGACCTTTGGTGAAGATCTTGGAAAGCGATGCTAGTTAAAAGTAAGGAATGCTGAACTGGTAAACTTAATTGTCTAACTATCATGGTAAAGCAGTTTTATAGTTTTGAGAGACATGTGATTTTTAGAAAATATGTAGTCCTAATGCAGAAAGTGTTTTTTGTCTGTTCTCTCTCCCCCTGAGCAATTTGGAATGGTTAGGGAAATAACTTGATTCATCAGTTTGAATGGACAAGATGCTGCATTTCCAAAGTGAGGCTGCCTGATCACCTTTTACCAGCAGAGGTCCCCCTTACTCTTTTGTCTTCCTATACTGCTTTTTACAGTATTTTCTCTGGATGTGCAGGGCCAGTCGCACCGAATCCAAGTGGAAGTGAAATCTGTACAAGAATCAGGAACATTGCCTCTCATGGAAGAATCCATCTTATCTGTAGCAGTGGGCTGTGTGCAGATCAGACATATCAAGTCACCAAAAAGTTATGAAAATTATCAGGTAGAAGATTATTGATACATATCAAAAGCAGTTAAGTGTGTTTATGCATATATGTGCATGTCTCAAATCCATCCACAAAAATGTCTATCTGTAGATCATTGGCAGAGAACTTTCTCTGCTTGAGTTTTTGGAACGAGCAGATCATTCTGAATTACTTGGACAAATAAGCTTACTGGATTTCTCTGTTTCCTCTATGCTATTGTGGGGGAGATGGGCTGGGGAGAAATCCAACAAATAAATAAATAAAATGAATAAATGCTTTAAAATGCAGAACTGTCATGCAGGATGAAATGGTGAATTAGAAACCACTTTCTTGAGCTCATCAAAGTTTTGATATATGTTGAGTCATGTATGTCTGGGTGAGACAGGGAGCTATGCTGTTTGAAAGCTGGAGGTTGAATGTTCATACCTGTCAGCGAATGGTGTTCTCCAAGTCTGCTTTCAGACAGAGGGAGATGATATTTTGCATTTTTATGTATGTTTTGAATGTAGAGAATATGGTTTGGGCACTTACAAAATGGCTACGGCAGAGGACTTCTCATTCATCAAACAATTACTGTGGCCATAAAATTTCTTTTTTTTTTTGGTGTCTTCAAGTCAGCAGTGACTCCTGGACAAGTCCCTGCAGTTTTCTTAGCAAGATTTCAAAAGTAGTTTGCCATTGCCTTCTTCCTAGGGCTGAGATAGAAAGCCAGCTGAGTGGCCCAAGGTCACTCAGCTGGCTTTCTGCCCAAAGCAGGACTAGAACTCAGAGTCTCCTGGTTTCTAGTCTGGTGCCTTAACTGGCTCATGGTATCCATTTACTAGAAGGCAAATAGATAACACCTTCCCCATCTGTCTAACTAACTAAGTTAGCCTTTATCATTTTTCTGAGCAAGAAGGCAGACTTCTTAACAAAGCATAGGGCTGCAGCCATCCACAGTTTTTGAAGCTTACTGATATTCAGAACATGCACAAAAATACATAATTTAGCATACACTCCTATAAAATGTTTAAGAGAAACAACTTGTGATAAAAGTTCTACATATTCTAATAGCTATTTCAGAGAGCTGTTAAAGCAATTTTGCCCCTCCAGTGTTAACTTTTTTCCCCCCAAGAACAATTGGTTCAAAAATAATTATAATTGAAACCATAAATGAGAATGGTTCTCTACAGTATGGATACATTAACTGAGAGTCTTTCCTTATAGATAATATATACATATTTGGTATAGATTTGGCTGCAAAAACTTTGAAATTTATGTGAATTCGCATGGTTTTTACCTAGGAAGAAGATGATGACATGGACAGTTATCAGGTAAATATGTCGCTGTTAGTTTCTTCAAGACTTAAGAATTTTTGTATTATTTAGTCTTTTTTTAATTAGCGAATCAACATTATATTATCTAATCAACATTACATTCTCTCTCTAAAATCAACATTATACTCTCTAAACAAAATTATTAGTGTTACTATGGCCATTACACAAGTGGCATTGGGACAGAAACATCATTGGTTGCACTTTTGGATGATCTCTGGCAAGGGCATGATGGGGATGGCCTCTATCCTTGCCCTACTTGACCTCTTATCAGCTTTTGATACCATCGACCATGGTATCCTTCTGGATTGGCTCAGAGGATTGGGGGGGGTGGCACCGTGTGGTGCTGCTTCGCCTCCTTTTTTCAGGGCCCTTTCCAGTCAGTGGTTGGGGAGGAGAGATCCTGCCCTCAGCCCCTACTATGTGGGGTGCCGCAGGGTTTGGTGCTCTCCCCTCTCCTATTTAACATCTAGATGACATGGCTGGGTGAGCTCATCTGTTACCATGGGGCGAGGTATCATCAATATGCTGATGATACCCAATTATACATCTTTGCCCCTGGCAAATTAAGTGATGCTGTGAGCATCTTATCCCAGTGCCTGGAAGCTGTGAGGGTCTGGATGGGGAACAACAGGCTTCAGCTGAACCCTGGCAAGACTGGGTGGCTTTAAGTTTTGGGGCCTTTCAGTTCTAAGACTATGCCATCTTTGGTGCTGGATGGGGTAGCACTGCCCCATACAGACCCAGTGCACAATCTGGGGGTTCTCCTGGACTCAAAACTCCTGCTCAAAGAGCAGGTGTCAGTCGTGGCTAGGAGAGCCTTTGCACAGCTTTGTGTTGAGCGCCGGTTGCGCCCGTTCCTGGATCGGGGGGCTCTGTTCACTGTCACTCATGCCCTAGTTACCTCCTGATTAGATTTCTGTAATGCGCTCTCCATAGAGCTGCCCTTGAAGAATATCTGGAAGCTTCAGCTGGTGCAAAATGCCCTAGAACAGCATACATTACACCTCTGCTCCACAAGCTGCATTGTTTGCCAGTTTGCTTCCAGGTCCAATTCAAGGTGCTGTTTTTGACCTTTAAAGCCCTTCACAGCATGGGGCCAGGTTATCTGAGGGACCGCTTCTCCCTGGTTATATCTGCCCGTCCCACCAGATCTGGCAGAGAAGGCATGCTGCAGGTCCTGTCTGTCAGGAACTGCACTTGGCGGGTCCCAGGAGGTGGGTCTTCTCTGCTGTGGCGCCTGCCTCATGGAATCTTCTCCCCCCAGAGTGAAGTTAGCTCCATCCCTCTAAAATCCCACAGGTCCCTCAAAACCTGGCTATGCCTTCAGGCCTGGGGGTCCCAGGGCACCAGGGAGATCTTGTGATGGCTCCCTTACTGCAGATAAGATCATCCTCTCCTGTTTTTGTGTTTTTTATAGTTTTTAATAATGAATGTTTTTATATATTTATTGTTTTTTTAATTAAGTGTTGTACGCTGCCCAGAGTCACTTTTCTGTGAGATGGGTGGCTGTACAAGTTTGATAAATAAATAAAAATAAAAACATAAGTCATTCTCTTCAAAAACGTGGTAGGAATAAGTCTGGACATAGTACTGAAACAGCATTGGCTACACTTGTGGACAGCTTTGGAAGGCTTGGGATGGGGATAGAGCATCCATCTTGGCCTTCCTTGATTTCTCATCAGCTTTCAAATCATCAATTATGCTATCCTTCTAGTCTGGCTCAGGGAGTTAGGAATGGGTGGCACAAGAAGATTCCTCTCCTTTCTCTGGGCCAGTTCCAGGTATTGGGGAGGCAATCCTGTTCTAGACCCCTGTTATGTGGGGTGCCTCAGGGCTCTATACTCTCTCCATTGCTATTTAACATCAACATGAAGCTGGGCAAGGTCATTTGGTGGCACACAGGTATCATCAGTGGACTGATGATACCCAGATGTATATCTCAACTGTGGGCCAATCAAGTAATGATGTCAAAGTTCTCTCAGTGTCTGGAGTTGTGGGAGTCTGGAGGAAGATGACCAGACTTAGTCTCAACCCTAGTAAAATGATGTGGATTTGGAAAACTTCAGTTGTTAGTACTAATTCAGGTCGCACTATCCCAAATGGAACTGAAGTGCAATTTGGGGGTTCTCCTAGACTCCTGGCTCATGCTGGAAGAGCAGATGGCAGCCATGTGAGGAGGACCTTTGCACTAATTCATCTTGTGTATCAATTGCACTCATTCCTGGATTGGGAGATCCTACCCGCAGTCATTTGCACCCTCGCTTGGACTATTATAGCACACTCACCTGGAAATGCCTTTGAAGAACACCTGGAAGCTGTGGCTAGTCCAGAATGAGGCAGCACAAGTAATTATAGACATATGGAATTATGCTCATGTTACACTGCTATTGCACAAGCTGCACTGGTTATCAGTTGGCTTACAAGTTCAATTCATGGTACTGGTAGTCACCTTTAAAACTTTTCATGGCATAGAGCCTGGATGTTTGTGGGACTGTCTGTCTTAACTTATTCTTGCCCATTGTATAAGATCTGACAGGGCACTCATGCTAGGGGTCCCACCTATTAAACAGTGCTATCTCATAGACTCAGGAGGTGTTCCTTCTTGGTTGCAACACCTGCTATCTGTATTAGCCTCCCTCTTTCCACCAAAATTCAGCTGACCCCAATCCTGTTGGCCTTTAAGAAGGCTTTGAAGATTTGGTTCTTCCCCCAGGCCCTGGACCAAGACGTTATATGAGCCCATTGGAAGTATATGAGGTGTGTTTGATCCTCAGCACAGTATGTTTTATTTTACAATATTTTTTATCATTTACCTGTACTGAAGTTTTTAATCTTTGTTAGCTGCCCAGAGTCACTTGGTAAGTGGGTGGCCATAGAAATAAACAAAACAAAATTTGCTTTTCATAAAAAAGAAAGCCATGCTCAAGTTTTTAATTTTCATCACTGCAGGATTTCAAAATATGTAAGCTAGAATAGTAAGTTTGCAAATGAAGTTCACATATTTGTAGTTTGTATAAAAATGGATTTTCATTTGCAATAAAAAAAGCAACTACTTATGGATGCAACATTAATTCATTGCTTTTTCCGTTGCTTTCAGTGGCTATTTCTTTGTTCTGATACCTGGCTTTCAAAATCTTTTTGCATGCATAAGTTCAGATATCCACCTTCAGAAGCAAACCATTACTTCTGAATGTTTTGTTTTTAAATCTCATTTCTTCACAGGACAGAGATCTAGAGAGGCTGCGCAGGAAATGGTTAAATGTTCTTACAAAACGCCAAGAGTACCTAGATCAACAGTTGCAGAAACTTGTGGGAAAGCCTGGTGAGCATAAGCAGTTTCCTATTTTCCATTGTAACTGCTGCCAAAGTTGTTGGGAAGCTAAGAAACTTGAAAAAAGTTCTGGGCATCCCCAGCTGTGTGGAGAGTCATCTGTGCATCCAGGCTACTGTAAGCAAGTAGAATAGCTTCCAGACCTGCATGTAAGGGTAGAGGAGGCAACAGTGGAACTACCGTGTATGGCATCTTCTGTCTATACCTGTACGTATTTTAGAAGAACATACAAATCAGCATTAATACGATTGTTGAATAGGATTACGAAATTCCTCCCAAGAATCCTTAACAGTGTATGTATGGATACATTTGTCTTTGCAGTTTAAGGCAAGGGTGAAAGATAGGTTTCCATGGTCTCCAGGTAAAGGTCAAGAAGTCTTCAAGTCAGATCTGATTCCTGATGATTACATGGACACAATTAGGCAGTTTTCTTGTCAACAGTAGAAAAGTGGTCATTTTTTTCCCTTGATATTTAATGACTTCCCAATCTAGGCTACAGCCTTGGTATTTTGGTGGTCTCCTATTCAAGTATTAACCTGCTAAACTTATAGAAATGGACACAGTCAACCAGTTGCTGCCATCTGCTGATATGGTTTCCTGTGGTCCCTTCCAATTTTCATTGGAGTCATCTTTGGAGGTGTTGCTGAGTGTATAGTGAAACTTTCTTGGCCTCTTCCAGACAAATCAGAAGATGATGTTGATCGAGAAGCTCAGCTGTTAGAGATGAGGTTGACCCTTACAGAAGAGAGGAATGCTGTAATGGTGCCATCTGCTGGCAGTGGGATCCCTGGAGCACCTGCTGAGTGGTAAGGCCTGCAATAAAAAAAGTTGTAAACAGCCAGCTTCACAAATTGCTTAGATTCCTGTTATTTGCTTGAACATGTGGTGAAAAAATAGAAGGGTGCCTTTATCTTGTTTGTAGCTGTGGAGAAGTACTGTGCCAGTGGGATGGAAATCAAAAAAGTTCAGTTACCCTCCTGAAAGATGGTAGAAAGGTAGAAGAGAAGATCGGTTTCTGAAAGTAGTAAGAGTAGGATATTTTGGAAGTAAAATATGCATGAGAATGAATGAAATGCCTAGTAAATGCTTAAATGTTGAGCAGGGAGTAAAACTAAGGAAGAACGATGTCTTCTTGATTGTTTAATGTATTAATATATAAGGAACGCTAGTCATGATGTTAGAGATGTGTAGGTTGGAGGCATGAAAGTGTGTGTACCTTTGTATGTAAATGATACCACATTGTTGGTTGAGAACCCAAATACCAGATGTGCAAGTGCTGGTAGAAGGATAGTGGGTAATGTGGTCTGTTGCAAGGAGTTAGTGTTTGTTGAAAGATGGGAAAACATCTGTGTATAAGAGCTTGCTTCTGCCCATTTTGTTATTCAAAAGTGAGAGTTAATTAGGTCAGGAAAAACATAAATTGAATCCAACAAGAATGGGACACTTAAGTGCATGTGATACAACAACAAGAGATAGGATCAAGAATGTATGGGTGCTGAATCAATGTGGACTGAGTACAGAAATGAGTGACCAATGCAAAAGAAATACACTGAGGTCATTTGATCATATAGAAAGAAAGAATGAGGATCATATTGCAAAACAAATATATGAAGGAAGAGTGAACGGGTCAAGAGAAAGGGAAAAACAAGTCGTGCTTGGATGGAGCTGATAAGCTAGAAAGCTGTGGAGAGATACAGTGTTAATATCAACTAGATTTCAATTACCTTTTCTTTTTTCTCATGCTTTTCATTTGTTTATTCCTTTTTTGTGCCCTGCATAATGTTGTTACCCTGAAAGGGAATAGTGTTATGAGAATGTATATTTGTATATAAATCATATGAAGTGTCCTATTGGAGCAAACAGTGATCTAGTCCAGCATTCTTTGTCACATGGTGGCCAACCAGTTGTATGCAGGAAGCTCACAAACACGGACAGAGTTGTTGCTTACTTGCAGCTGGGGTTTAAAATCTACTGGCTGTGAGCAAAGAGTTGGTAAACATCCAAGAATAGTAGTCATTGAGAGGCTAACCTCCTTGAATTTGTCCATCCTCTTTGAAAACCATCCAAACTGTGGCCCTTGCCACATCTGAGGGCAGCACCATGCAATTTAAAACTGAACAGGATATGGCTTTTATAATTCCCCACAAAAAATGGCTGACCTTAGCATTTGCAGGATCAATCAGGTTTGCTTGCAATTCCATATGGAAATCTAATACATAATTTGGAAGCTGCCCCAGGACAGCTAAACAGCCTTTGGAATGGTTTCCATTTGAGATTTGGAAACAATGCCTGGGTTGAAGGAAGGTAGGAAAGGAAAAAGCAACTAATACTGAGGATGTTTGAGAAAAATCCCTAGTCTTTGCTCTATGCTCTTTCTTTAAAGTGGCAGAACTTTTAAACAAAGTTTAATTACAATCTTCTGTAGAAGTTGAATCAATATTTATTGCTACTGCACTTTAGCTGATTTAAAAGAAAAAGAAAAAATGAATAGCAATTGCCTGGCTCATTCACTTAAAAGCCTCCTCTTTCCTTGTGGTATTGCATGTAAGATTAACCTGGATTCAGCATTTCATGGTTCCTGAGTAGACAGCAGACACTTTGCAAAATCGTCCTTTCAGAATATTGAAAGTACATCAAATACACCTGCAATGTTTGTCATCCCATGAAAGCATAAGAAGGGTTTACTGAATGTAGAATTTAGGTTCCTGGGAATCTTGGTATTCTTAAAAAAGAATGAAGCTTCTAGTCCTTATGGTGTGAAGAGATCCCTTCAAATGCATAGGTAATGTCATCTATCAGTATTGGAGATATAACCCTAGGAAAAGTCACTCTTTCCTATGTATAGAATTACCAAAATAATTATTGGTATAGAAAAAATGATCTAGATGCAATTTCATATATCACATAGGGTCATTTCATACGTTACACATATACAGTGAATTCCTACTTCACAAATACACTTGTATATGACCTCCAGAGCCTTCTGGAAGTTGCTGTTAAATGTAACAGCAGCTAAATAAAGGTGTGGCCCTTGACCCAAAAAAGGTTCTGTATCCCTGCACTGTCTGTGCCTACTCACAACTGGTTTAGCAATGTTTTGGATCTTGGAGAAATGGTTGCCAAAAGGTGGCACATCTTACCATTACTTCCAGTTCAACCTGTAGAAAGAGGAAACTGCTTTCGAGGGCTACGTTCATTCACTTGGTCCACCTCCTTTTCTCTGCATATCCATGAAAACTAGAAGCCTTAGTTATTTGCTATCCCTCCCTTGGCAGACATGCTTCTTTGCAGTTAGTTAACTATATAAATTAGAGCACATAAGACAATCTTGTTACTTGAGATAGACACACACATTTGTGTGCTTGCTATTGAGAATGCTGCTCTGATTGAGCACCGGCATTGAAATTACTGATCGTCCTTTACCTTTGCAAGAGAAAATTAAGCTAGAGCCACATTCACCAAGGTTATCATTGCCTTGTCCTACAGTTGCGTGGGTACTGAATGTAATATACAGTTGCTGTGCATCACAAGGAACATGTCCTGCATTAAGACTCTCCTGAATTGATATGCCGATCTTGTCCATGGCTTTTGTTTTCTTTTAGGACACCAGTGCCTGGTATGGAGACACACATTCCAGTCATTTTCCTTGATTTAAATGGTAAGTTTCACCATGGCAAACAATGTGAGACAAGAGCTTATATGAAGGGAGGTGAGTTTCAACAAAGGGATGAACTGAATATATCTTGGTGGGTGAAAAACAACCGTGTAAGCAACTATAAGAGATCCTGTCAGCCATGTGTTCTTTTTTTTCTTCTCCTTTCACTTCCCTTCCCCAAAACAAGAGCATTTGCTCTATGCATTGTAACTCTGCCATTTAACCTTAAAGAGTTAAAAGTTCTTTGAGGCTATAAGAGATGCTGAGCGTGTAATCTAAGTAATGTTGCCCTGTGTGTAACACTGTGGGGCTGCAGCTGCCCTCCTTTTAACGTCTCTAATCATAAAAATCTTCCCTTTTTTAAAGTTCTGTGTGAGAACGCTCTGTTGGAGCAGCCACACTGATTTTCTACTTCACAATAGAAGCTGTACATGTGTCTCCTTGTGAGGACCGGATAAGGGGGAGAATAAAAACATTCTATTTTTGTTAATCAAATTGCTTGCCCAGCTTACAAAACTAATGGAGGCCAGGTTGAAACTAATATGGCCAGTTTGGTCCACTACTGCCTACTCATCCTGTTTGTCTGAACGATACCTCGATCATTTGTGGTGCGCTGGTATTTCTTTCATTTCTTTGGAACAAATAAGTGTGGTGATTCAAATAGAATGCTTATATGATTAATCTAACAAAATGTCTTCATCATGGGAACTAAGGATGTACAATTAGTTTCTGCACAACATAAGAGTTTTATCATCACAGCTGTGCAATCCTGGGGAAAGATGAAGCTGCTTTTGTGATGGAATGGTGTTATGAAGGCCACACTCAGGAAGATAAGCATTTCCTTAGCCCCCAGCAGGAGTGTGGGAAGTTTAAGATGAAACTGGCACCACCCTAAGGAATTCACGGTGTTGTGGCTTGCTGGCTTGGGGACCTAGGTTCAGTCTGGGGAGATTTCTGTTTTGTGGGGGGGGCGTATAAATGCAACAGAACTGTATTTGCACTGTCTTGTGGAGTTCTTTGGGCTGAACCTGACAGCTTTAGACAGATACTAGATTTCAGCTCCTAAGTACCTTGAAGCACCTTTTGGAAATTGAACCTAAAGTACTGCACAGCCATAGTGTCCAGAACTTCCCAAGAATATTATATCATGCACAGCAATTGCTTACTGAATCTCTCTCTCTCTTTCTCCCCTTATAGCAGATGACTTCAGCTCTCAGGATAACCTTGATGAGCCAGAAGCTGGTGGCTGGGATGCTACTCTTGTTGCTGAAGATGAAGATGAATTCTTTGAGTTACAAGTTGTAAAGCACCATGAGAGTGAGGTAAGGCAGTGCCCAAGCACTTGGAGCTGGGGAAAGCTCTCTTGCTGTTAACGGGAAATGTTACAATAGCCCTGGGAAAGCACATATGGCATGTTCCTTTGGTTCTTAATGGCTCCCACTCCACTAATGTATTTTGAAGCTAGTTTGAAATTATAATTTATCATCTGGAAGTTAAAGGGAGAGGAGCAAACATATTTTGTTCTTATTTCTCACTGAGATGGTCAATTGGTTTCTAGACTATGCCCCATACAAATGCAGGTGGAGAAAATGACTACTCCTCCGAGCAAAAAGAATCCTTGCCTACCAAAGCTAGCATGTGAAAGAGAAGGGTTATAGCTAGTGGTGCCTTTAACATGCAAGTTTTCTGTGCACAGGGTTATGTTGTTGCTCTGTGAAGGGGGATCCCATCATGTGAGCCCAGTCTGAGGAGATAACAGTGGAAGGTTATTATCTCATTGAAAAAAATTGAATTTTTGTCTCAGAGAAGTACACGTTTTTGTATTCTTTAGCACCTACTGTAAATAGCAGGTGCATTGTTGGCAAATTAGGAAACAGCTCAAGCACAATTTCAGAGCACTCTCAAACCAAGCTCTAGTGAATGCATGGCTGAGAACACATCAGCAGGACCTCCTCCATGTGGAAATTGAATTCCTGCCTTATGTCCTTAGATCTCCTGAAACTGAGGAGCTACTGCAATCAGAGCCACTGAGACCAGTGATCAAGCACTTCCATTGTTTTAGCTTACAAGGCTATTCTCCTGGATATGTCCTAGGAGCTGCTGATGACTATATCTTCCCAATGTCTGGATTGAGACATGCTCCCCCCACCCCATGGACGAGCCTGCCAGACATTCTTGAAGGACTCAAGAGAATATATATGGTCTTCTGGCTGCGATTTTTTGCATCTCTGACTTATTTTATAAAAACTTAGCCATTTGTGATTCATTTTGTTCACCTTATTTGAACAAACCATAGATTAGCATTCTCCCTGTCACTGTGTGGGTAAACACAATGAATTGTTATAGATACTGTATGTGGGCTGTTTCCTCTTTTCTGCAAAAAAAAAAAAAAAACCTTACTAGGTTTGAAGACAAACCCTTCTTATACTATAACTTCAGCCTGGCTCTGGTTCATCTTTTGTTTTTCTGGTGGATTTTGCAGGTGAAAGCTGAAGCTTCCTGGGATTCCACAGTTCACAACTGTGCACAGCTTAGCAGAGGAACATCTGCAGAGCAGAGAGTCTTCCTGATTGTGAGAGTGACAGTACAGCTGAGCCATCCCGCAGAAATGCAGCTTGTCCTTCGTAAGCGGATCTGCGTCAATGTCTATGGCAAACAGGTACACTATTAAAGCCATTACTTCTCTGGATCAGGCCAAAGCTCCATCTAGCTGAGCATTCTGTCTCCGAATAGCTGCTAGACAGATAGCTCTTTTAATATCCCAAGTTAAAATATATAGCATGGAATGGCTTCTCCTCATCCTGTTTCCCCTTCTAAATTAGGATTATCTGTTGAATTATCTTGGCATGCAGAAACTTCTCCAATCTGATATCTTCTGAATATGTTACGTTTACTGCTCTCCAAATCTAGCCAGCTTGCCAGAATTACAGAAATTATAAATACATCTAGAGGACACCAGATTGGGGAAAACTGCTTTATAGATTTTAATAAATGCTACATTCCATATATTTGTTCAGATTTTACTTTTTCAGAAAGCTATCTAAATTCACAGTCATTTTCACATCCTTTTAGCGTCCAGGCATGGTTATCCAGAATTAAACTATTGGTAAAATTTGATATTCTCTTATGCTTTACTATCTTTTTGCTGTCACTGTTAACTTTGATATCAAAAGACCTCAAAAATATTTCAGGCAGGTGCCTTTGTCTCTGTTACATGAGGTTTTTTGGAACGGTTGGGTTGTTAGGATCACTTACTGCATCCTTGAAGACAGTTATGCTGGAGTTCAGATGTACTTTCAGAATGTCTTCATGTGCAAGGGCTTTCAGTTTGCTTTTGTGGTTTTCGGCAGCAGGGAGTAGGGCATACTATCAATAGTATGCATATTGTTGCAGTGAACAGGTGATCTAAGATGATTATGCATGGCTCTAAATTTTAGGATTCTGAAGGGTGCCATTGCATCAAATATGGGGTGTCTCAGCAAGATAGAGACTGAAAGTACTAGGGCAAAACTATAATAGTTATTGAAAGTTAAAGTATATTCAGTAAAAATCAGCTTCCTTTTATTAGAACATCTTCTGGTGGGAGTGCTGGAGATTCAGAAAGTTTGGAATTCATAGTGTTTTTCCATCTATTAAATGGTTTTAGGACTTTAGTCTGGGGTATTCTCTGTAGCCAGATTTTCTTGTCTAATTGACTCTTTTTTCCCCCCTTTTCTTTCATTTTTCCTTGCTCCTGATTCCATGGCAGTTGCTAGAATGCTGCATAGAGGCTCCACAAGGGTAGTAATCTATCACTTCTACAGCAAACATCTTTTTCTGTATGGCTTCTGTGTGTGTGAGAAGCTGAAGTATTGAGGATCATTCATGTTGTCAGCATTGTTTACTGCTGAAATAGATACTTCATCCCATAGTGACTTTTATAGGCAGTATTTGATAGGTTGTACCTTAATGAGCTTTTCTGCATGTTAGCAAAACATGCTTCAGCAAATCCATGCTGCCAGCAGATTGTCTCATCTCTCATCATCCCACATAGTCAATATTGTTTGGTGACATTTGTAATAGAAACTTTTTTTTTGGCTATGTGTTGAAATGTTACTGATGTCATTGTTAAATCCTTGGTTTGTACATCTGTGCTTTATCTGCCTTGCTTATATCTGCCTTGCTCTCCAACAGCTGAGGTTTGGGGGAGGGTGAGACAGTAGAAAGAGGATGCTTAAACAAATTCAAGAGACATAAATTGTGTAAACATTTCCAGAGGTCTAGTCTTGCTGGTTTCTTGCAGCACCTAAATTATAATGGCATAAGCTAGCTATTTCCAACCTCCAGATGTGTGGACCTCATCTTCTGGAATTCTCAACAATAGCCATGCTGGCTGGGGATTGAGTCCCACATCTGGTGGGTACTCAAGTGGGAGAAGATCTGTTCAGAAACTGGGTTTTTCAAGGACTCCTGTAGCTATTTGAGTATTGGGTTAGGGAGCCCACACGGTCTGCACAAATGCTTCACATCAGTTCCTTTTGCTATAGTTCCAGTCTTTGCCACTATACTGATAAGTGGAGTGTCAAGTGATATCCTCAGCCTTTCTCCTTCTTTCCTAACTTGTCTTTCATGGAATGTTTCAAAGGCTAAAGAGCATTCACACCTGGCAAGACTTTTAATGCAAATAACATTTGTACCTATTCTTCCTTAAAGGAAAATGTACCAGAAATCTGAACTAGGGTGTGCTATGTGTGGTTCTATATGTATAAACCTGGAACTGTTCCAGGTCCATAGCAAGCAAAAGGAAGACTGGGGTAAGGAGTGCCAAACATTCCCTACTTATTCATTTTACCTTTCTTCCAGCAATTCTCCCCATTTGCTTTCCTGCCCAGCTGGTCTGTGGTTCTGGAAGTGATCTTAGCTGAGACAGAATAAACAGAGATGAAACTGAGGGATAAATCTTAGGTGCTCCCTGATACTCTCCTTGGGCTACTAAAATTGGACACCCCAACATTTTATTTATAAGCTTGAGACAGTTTAAATTTGTTTGGCCTTACAGTAAGGGGTTCATGCGGTACACTATCTGAGATCAATCCAGAAAGAAGTTCAGAAAACAATCTCACATGCATTTGTACATGCAGGCTTATAGCCCTTCCATAATAGAAAGAGGTGTCATGTACTGTTTCAAATCCTTGGCTCATCTAGGTGTGGTTTAGACTTTACTCTGGCTGGCAGCAGCTTTCCAAAGTTTCAGCTGGGGGACTTTTCAGCTCGTAGAGGTCATTTTACTGGAGATGTTGGAGATCAAAGCTTCAAAGCATGCCCTCTGCCATTGACCATGGATGGCCAATGCTCCACAAAAATGCTCAGCTGGTACAGTTCATTACAGCCATTAGCACAAATCTCTATAAATTTCTTTTCTATGCAGCCTGCTAAACTCACTGGGCTATTTAGCTATTTTGTCTACTGTCAATACACAATCCAAACATGTATTTCAAAACTGTGTCAATAACCTTCCAAGGCACCCAGCAACTTGGGATGACTCATCTCTGCATTAATTCAGGAGTCAGGATTTTAACCTCATGAACCTTCCTGTCAGCATAAACAATGTCTCTGACCCTCTTAAATCATTGTTTGTAATGATCACGGTGGCCTGGGATTCAGAAACCAGACTTGTTGACAATTCAAAGCACTAGTAATTCGAAGCTCACAAGTAAATATGTGCATGCATAGAAAAAAGAAGAAGACATGCTCAGCATGTCGGTTAAGCGGTCACCTTGTCAGCATTCTGTCATGATGCAAACATAAAGTATTTGGGGTCAATTCACATATTTACTTCCTGGGAATCAGAGCAATGTTTCATCTCCCTACCTTTTTTAATGTGACACAACCCTACTTGAACCCACCTAGTTCCCCAAATCTTCCTACACTGTGGGGGGAAAAGGATTCCAAAACTGGAGACATCTCACAATGTGTGAATCTCCCCCATAAGGCTTTAATTTTGATGGTATGATCATGAAAGTAATATATAATTGTTTAATTGGGTGCAAAGAAGGTTGCTTTACTAAAAATGAATGAGCAGGTTGATCGTCTGTAATGTATGTGGCCAGGGGTGGGCAGAGGAATATTGTCCACCACAAAGAATGGGGTTTCCAAAAATTAAATGGCTCTGTTTTGACTTCCCTTTGGCTAATCTGTTGCTGTCTGCTTTTCTTTCATGCTAAACAGTCTGCTGCTGATATGAGTATTGGTTTAACCTTACTGAAAGAGATGTACCTGTTTTTATTATTGACTTATTTTAAGCTACAAGATCTCTTTTTTACCTCTAGGGTTTTGCTCAGAGTTTTCTGAAAAGAATGTCTTACCGGAGTTCTGTACCTGGCTGTGGAATCACTTTTGAAATCGTTTCAAATATCCCAGAGGTGAATATTTGGGGGAATTCATATAATGTTGCTTCTAAATATGCCCACAAATGAATACAAGCAACTTTCCTTTGCTATTTTTATACAGTATACAACCATAAGTTTGCTTAATCTCATCCTAAGAGAATTCACATGCTGGGTTTTTAACATATGGTCACAGCTGATTGGAACAATTTCCCATGGAGGTTTCAAACAGGAGGAAATGCCAGCATTCTCCAAGAAATCTTTCCCATAGTCCTAGTTCTATCTTGGACATGTTAATGAATACATGTATCTAACAGCTCATCTCACCTCATCTTAGAGATCCTGATTCTTAGTACCTAATGCTACACATGCTTTCAGTTACTTAGAGGTAAAAATGGACAGATCAGTTTATTTCTATGTCATGTCTGCTTCTCAAATATTTATGAAGTCTGCTGTGTCCCATTTCTGCATCCAGACTTTTGAAAAGTTTAAAAAATGCACACAGGCATTTATATTAAAAACAAATTAAACAGAAAACTGATTTTTTTCAGTGGTTGAATGAATATTGACTATGGAATGCCACCTTATTTTGAATTCAACCATTACTCTACCTGAGATGTGCCAGTATTTGAATGTATTAGAGTGTGTCTGTGTACCTGTGTGAGCAAATGAGAGAGAGAATCTCTTCAGCCACGTAGAGATGCTCTTGAAAAGTTTTACCCTCCCCACTTAATTCTGAATTTGCCATCACAAATGTAGATCAGCATGTCAAGCATCCTGTGGCTTGTGTTTCCCTGGCATTTTTTCTTTTACTTTTTATGTGCCGATGGACTTGCTAATTTGAGAGGTTTGCTCTTCCTTCCAGGATGCTCAGGGGGTAGAGGAACGTGAGGCATTAGCAAGAATGGCGGCCAACGTAGAAGATGCAGATTCTGCTGCTTCTGAAGTCCATATAGAAAAATACCTTCGAAGTGTGTTGGCTGTAGAGAACATCCTTACTCTTGATCGGTTGCGCCAGGTTAGTTAATCCTAAGGGAAAATGCCAAGAGGTGTGGGGACCTTCCTCAGGTCATAGGCTATAATGATATTCTTGGGGTGCCCTTCAGTCACACAGTGGGTGAAGTCACATCATTAATGGGCAAGACTGAGTTTTGCCTATTCTAAGGCTTGCAGGTTGCATCTGCTTCCCATCTCAAAATCCCAGGAAACTGTTGTCAGTTATTAGCAGCCATTAAAGGTTAGTCACCAAGGCCCATAAAAAGAGGGTGTTGGCGCTCTGTGTTGCCAACCCTTGCTACAATCCCTATTATTTTAGGGCTTTATTTTAAAAAACAATAGTAACATATTGTGCTGAATTTCAGACATATGATCCTGAAGGGTTCTGGAGCCATACACCAGCTTTAGAGTGTGGAACTATGACACCTACTCTAACATCCTTGTGAAAGGCCTAAAAATTAAAGTGGTCGTAGGAATGTTGATGAAACTACCTAATATTTTTATTTTACTTAGGTTGTATCTCACTTCAGGGCAATTTCCAAAGAAAATAGAACGGGGGGTGGCAATCTTGTTTATGTGTAAAGATTTACTGTACTCAAAGAGTTGAGTACAGTATGTAAAAAAAAAAAATAAGGCTACATATAAGTAATATTTTCGTTAGTCTAATCAGTAATAAATGGAAATTATTCTAGTAGATGGGAAGGATTCTGTTGAGAAAGTGCTAACTTTGAGAAGGAATGGCTCTTTCGCGTTGTCTTTTTTTTTTTTTGGTAACTTTTTAGAGAAGGAGCTTTGAAACAGGAGCATCTTCCCCTTCCTTGTGGGACTGGGGACACCTAAACTATTTTGAGATGGGGGTCAGTCCCACTTTTGTTCTGTTACTCACAACACAGAAGTGGGTTGAATACCAGCTAGCAGAGAGGCCTTTTCAATATTCTTTGTTTAGGGAAGGGGAGGTAATCACTCTCTGACTATATTGTCACTATAATACAGTGACTAGATTATCACTATAATCTGATTTTGGAAAAGTTGGTGTGATATTTTTTGGGTGGGCTCAGTGTTGCCTTATGCTAATGTCGAATTCATGTGGTTGTCCAAGGAGGTTTACATGCAGCCTTAGGCTGCATTTGTATGACAGTTTGTTCCAGTCTCTGATTACGTGTGTGTCTTAGCTGTCTCCAGCCAGATATATTGGGCTATGCTTTCCATAATTCCAAGCCAGTAACACTCACATGTATAAATGTCCTCTTGTCAGTGATCCCTACAGAAATGCCTAACATTCCTTGCCCTTGATTCAGCTCAAACTTGTTTTCCTTTGTAAATGATTGTTAAAGAAAAAATGATTTGTTCATTCCTTGCAGGAGGTTGCTGTAAAGGAACAGCTAACAGGCAAAGGAAAACTTTATCGGAAGAGTCTCAGTTCACCAAATGTCAATCGAGTAAGTCTCTATAATACTAGAGCTGAAACTCTCACAGTTTGGTCTAGTGGTTAAGGACCAGGCTAGAAAGCAGGAGACTGTGAGTTCTAGTCCCACCCACGGCTGGGTAACTTTGGGCCAGTCACTTTCTCTCAGCCCAACTCGTCTGACAGGGCTGTTGTTGTGGGGAAACTAGGAGGAGGAAGGAGTATTAGGTATGTTCACCGCCTTGAGTTATTTATAAAAATAATAAAGGTGGGATTAAAAAAATCTAAGCAAAAACACAGCTGGAAGAGGGAGGAGAGAAGAAAGAGTGGCTCCACAATGAGTTGTAGGAAGGCAAGGAGCATTTCTCCATCTGGGAAGAGGAGGAAGGAGTATTAGGTATGTTCACCGCCTTGAGTTATTTATAAAAATAATAAAGGTGGGATTAAAAAAATCTAAGCAAAAACACAGCTGGAAGAGGGAGGAGAGAAGAAAGAGTGGCTCCACAATGAGTTGTAGGAAGACAAGGAGCATTTCTCCATCTGGGAACAGTATATTGGGTTCCTGCTGCAGGCACAGGAAGTATCTTCACCTTCTGGCACTCTGTTGACCTCTATGCTTGCTGTCAGTCTTGCAGGCTAAAGGCTGCATTTGAAAGTCACAATTTTATTGTCACTCTTTCAGCTATCTGGAAGTCGCCAAGATCTAAATCCATCATACAGCCTTGCTTCTTACAAAGTAAGCATTCAGTTTGTTTGTTTGTTTGTTTATTGTGTTTGAGAAGTTGCACTTTTTCAGAAAAATAGGAATTTAACTATTTGAAAAAAATTATTTTGAAAGCTGCTTTTACTTAAGTTTTAAACTGAGTTGTTTAAAGGATCCAAGACAGGATGGGGTTGTTAAGAGGCGTAACTTATCTTTCATCAAAACTATAACATATGGACTAATTATGTTGCTTGATATTAATTTAGATTATACACTTTCCCTATATTTGTATAATATTGAAAGATATATTTAATAAGTGTGTGTGTGTGTATACACACACACACACACTGTTTGCACCTTTATATTTTCACTGTTATATTTTGTTCATTTTAATACAGCACAGAAAAGAGTTTTTGCAATAGAATATCCCCGCTCTGAAGCTTAAATCCTGCTGAGTCTTTTCAGTCAGTGTCCATTAACTGGAACTGTTTTTCATTTTGGCTTCAATGCCTCTAATATATACCCTGTACATTTCTCCTTACTTGCTTCTTCCAACACAACAAGGACCAGAGTGTTTTCTTGAGGCAGATCTCCTGCCTCTGAATCACATTGCGATACAGACCTCAATGTGCAAACTTTAGAGAGTTAGTCAGTGGTTGTGTTCAGACATCTCACTAAGCCGTGATCTTGGTTACCATTATCTGTTGGAAAAATAGCCACAAGATTAGCATAAGATGCTAATCCATAAACAATGGTTTACAAACTACAATGAGTGGTTCATGTGCAAATCAAGCCAGGGCTGCACAGTCTGAGCCCTCAAAGATGCAGTCCTTTGCCGAGGCCCTTGGAACCAGTCCAGAAGCTGCTGCTGAATTGTAATTTTTAAAATGACAAAAGGGAAAAATAATTACAGATAGCCCTTGCTTAGTGACCACAACTGGAACCAGCAACTCTGTCACTAAGCATCACAGTCACTAAGCAGAAAATCATGTGACCATAACGAGCTTATGACCTCAGTTCCCCTTTGTTCGTTAGCAAATCACCACAACCATTAAGTGAAACACAACTTACAATTTTGCTTCTGTGTTCTCTATTAACTCTGCTTTTTGCAAGCCTGTTGGGAAGCATGCGAATGGTGATCACGTGACCACAGGACGCTGCAATAGTCATAAATGCGAGGATTGGTCGCAAAACTTTTTTTTTTACACCATCATAACTTTGAGCAGTTTTTAAATGAGACATAAGCAAGGACTACCTGCAAGTACACTAAAACTCAATTCACATGAGATGTTATAGTAGACTAAAATGTGGTTAGGTTGCCTGCTCTCTTGGTAAACAGAAACAGAAAACTTTTCCAGTCTAAAGTGGCCAGTAGTGTTACTCATTTAATTTACTATGGATCTGAAATTGAGAAGACAGAGAAAATAAAGTCTTTTCCCTTCCTTGTTTGAGGGAGAACAGCCTGTTGAGCTGGCAACTGACCAGTTTTGGCAAAAGATAGCCTGGCTCCAAAAGAAAAGAAAACTAAGTTGGGCTTCTCCTCACTTTAAAAGTTCTTTACCATTACTTATTCAGACTTTTTGAATGAGTAAATATGTGTAGATTAAAACTTTAATTTGAATCAGATATTTGAGAATTTTAACCAGGCTTGACATTTTGGAACAAAAGTGGCAGAACTGAAAAATCTAGTGTTTGATTTGCTTAAAACTAGAATCCCCAGCTTGAAAACTCTGAAAAACAACTCATTATAGAGATAGCAAATGTTTTGAAGATAAATATCTTTTAGGATGAAGGGACCTGCCTACAGGACCTTTATCATAGAAACAATGTATGTTTACTAAACACTCCTTATACCACTCAGCAAGATCAGCCTTATAGCACTTTCATGAAAAAAAATCTACATGAAATATCATCACCTTTATTATGGTCACAGACCAGAATTACAAATAAAAATACATTAAAGATGCATTAAATGCATTAAAATACATTAAAATGAAATAAAGCAAAACATGAAAATATATTTACAGATTGGTGGGATCATCAATGGGCACTGTCTGCCTAATTTTACAAACAGTATAACAAAATTTAGCTATGTTCAGGGAAACTAAATCATTCTGATCAGATAGCAACAACTGCACATAAGATTTCCAGGATATTTTACCGGATGAGGAATTATTAAATGGGTCTGTGAGTCATTACAGAAAATACAGTATACCAGGGCATGTGCTGTAGTTTCAATAGCCCCTTGTCCACAGAGGCACTACATGAGATACAAAATTGCAGTTGGAGTGTAAAGAAGTAAAACTACGTATTGCTATATGTGTACTATACCATTTCCATTCAACTCAAAAACAGTCCCATTTTGAAATTTCTGTGATCTACAGTACAGAACCATATTCTACATTTGTCATGGCAAGAGATAACCTTGAATAGAAAATAAAGAAAATAATCATTTTTCTAGATCTTCTTCCACCAAAGATTCAGAAGAAGCTTTTCAGAGCATATCTAGAAGTCAAACAAAAAGGATTCCAACCCTTTTTCCTGTTTCAAAAGATGTTTTGCTTATTCATGGATACTGATTGGAAAGCATTCTGTTTCCCTGATGCTCCCGAAAAGTTTTTATTGCAGTATCATCAGAATTAAAAAGAAGGAATCATCTTAGGGGAGAAAGGTTGACCTGCCTTAGGAGTAGCGAGTTCCTGTACTGTGATTTCAAAATACCCAATCCTGAAGTCCTTGTGGATTTTTGGTTTGGGGATTTCTTGTTTCATTTCTGCTTTTATTTTATTTTATTTTATTTTATTTTATTTTATTTTATTCTTTTCTTTTCTTTTCTTTTCTTTTCCTTTCTTTTTTTCTTTGGCTTTTGCCTAGCTTTTATATGCGGATTTTTTTTTTTACTTAAAGTATGGCTATTGTAATGATGATGGGGATTATAACTTTCCTAAATTTCAGCTTTATCATTGGGCATAAATTTTGGCATCAGTCTTTCTATGGAACACATGATCACGTCCAAAAACTACTATTGGCTACAAACAGAAAGTTATTATGTGATCATTTTAACATCATGGCAGGGGCTTGGCTCCATTTTTAGCCAAGGCACACGTAGAAGATGTTGGGATTTCAGAATGTAGATTTGTTGTGTGAATGAGGGTTGAGAGCACACAACAAACTCTGAGATAATCCCAGCTTGAAAATAGCAGGTAAATCTTTTGGAGGGGGAAATCATGGCCAAGTAGGAGCATTCATACTTTCAGTCAACTGTAGATACTTTGGAAGTCTTCTTGTTGCCCAGTGTTTGTAGTTGACTGCTGAATTTCAGAGAACCCACGAATAGTCCTGAGTGCAAACACCTTTTCCTTGAACAACAGCATTTTCAGCAGGAAGGATAATTCATAATCTGAATTTTCATTGTTTTTCTTTCCTTTTTTTATGTTTTTGTTTCTTAACCCTTCAACGATATCCATCCTTCATTGCATGTGTCAGTGTCCCAAGGTCGTGGCAGAGGTAACTAATTCATTAGGTTCACCTAATGAACAAGATAAACAAAGTATCCCTTTCTGGAATGCTTTTCCATGGTCCTCTGTGTTCTAACCCTAATCCTAACATTCTGCTTTGGATTTGCTGTCATTGTGCTTCCTTTTTTCTTCTTCGCTTCATTAACCAGCAGTAAAGGTAATCCTTCTGAATGTGGTGGTATGCGTCCCAGCCTGGAAGTGGCCTTGGTTCTGAAGTGGTGAGCTTGCCTGCTTTATCTGAGCAGTTGGAGAGGTCTGACTATTGAAATTTGAAAATAAATAGCATGCACTTGTACAGAGCCATCAGTATATGAGAAACTTAAGAAAGTTACCTAAATCCAAAAAAATGTTCAACTCAATCTAAACTTTACTGACAGGAGCATGGGAACAAACTGAGAATGAAGGATGAACATGGACTCATGCATGCATGTTATAATATACATGAGGACTGCTGGATCAGACAAGGGGCATGGCATCCTGTTTCTAGTAGTGGCCAGGCAGATTCCTATAGAAAGAACACAAGCAGGCCCTGAAAGGAAATATTTTTCCCCCATGAATTGTCCCTGATGGCCAGTGCAGTAGCACAATTAAATATGGAAATCAGAGTGGTTGCTACATTAGTGTTTTGCAGCACAAACAGCAAATAGTCCAGTTTCACTTTAAAAACTAACAAATGTTATTAGCACAAACCTTTGTGGAAGACAGTTCCTTTTATTAGATGTATATATTCTTTTCTGAATATTCTTTCACAGGACTATATAACAGGCATCTGATAAATTGGGTTCATGGACTGTGTTCTATGGAAGTTCATCCAGTAATATATTTGTAAATCTTTAAGGTGACACAAGACTAAGTGTTTCTGGGTTCCCCCTGGGTTTCCTCCCTCCACCCACCATACATTTGTTTAATCATTCTTCATTTACTTATTTAAATCATTTATTTACTATCTTTTCATATGCTTAAGACAGTGTGCAAAAGAAAGAGAAGCTATTTAAGCTTGTAATCATTCCTACATCTTGTGTCAATGAATTCCAGAAATTGTAGAATGAAGTAGTGTATCTTTTTCAACTTCTACTGAATTTATGGTCAATCTATTCCAGTTGGTCTAGTAAGTATAACCTACCTTAGAGAGGCTGCAAATGAGAGATTAGTTTGTGTGGCCAAATTGGCTGCTTCGGAACTGTTCTGTCCATAAATCCATCTAGCATTCAGCACACATTGAAGAGTTAGAGTGAGTTTAGAAATGGCTAGCTTGCAACTCAGCCCACATGGAGGTGATTTTTATTCATCCAGTTCTTCAGTGGTAGAGCCATAGATCATCAGTACTATGATGTGTCAGATTACACATTGCAGTAGCATATACATCTGGTTTCTAACCCTTTCCAGTGTGTCTCCAAGAAGGCTCAGTGCAAGGTTAGCACCACTGTGGTATAAACTGTAGTTGTCTGGTTTAGGAAAGTTATAGCTGTATAACTTGAAAATTTTTTCAAGCCATTGAACTATAAGATGATGGAACACAGCCTCTTTCCCTAATGATTTTGCATTCCCAGACTGTCATCAATTCCCAGGAGTTTTACTGAGTTCCTATTGCCTGCTTTGTATGAGTGAAGTGTAACCTTTGGTTTGGTGGATTATCAACTGCAAGCAGTTATGTCAAGATGAGCTGGTTAGCCATGCAGAATTCAAGACAGTGAGATTAGAAAGGAGGATTGCATAGATCAAGTAATATCCTCATTTATTTTTTGTTACTGCTGATATGTAGGATGGAAGGGAAAGCTAAGGATACTTTGTGGTGAGGGGAAGTTTCTGTGGCTGTCAGAATTTAACAAATATAGCATACCCTCAGCAACCACTATAGGTTTTACTGTTTGTTAATATTGTTTTTTATTGTCTTTAGGTGTTGTTAGCTATCCATTTGCGAGATGAACAGCTGTATAAATCCATCAAACAAACAAATAAATAGCAAGATGTTACTGAATGTTTCTAAAAATAGAATTCATACTAGTGGCTGTGCAAGTTTGTTAATGTTCTGGTTGATGAAATTCAATATTTATGGCAAAATAACGCAAAAAAATATTTTCAGAATAAGAGGCTTCAGTGGACTTCATTTAAATGGATACTTTGATTTGCCCAAAATTCAGTTTGAGCAACCCAGTTTGTTACTTCTTTTTTCTTCCAGGTTAGGGATCCCTCTAGTAAATAGTCTACCAGTTGCTTTGCTGGAGCAGACCAAGATCCAGTTAAAGAAGCATCCTGTTTCCCATATTATCTACATTGGAGAGTGATGGATGGACCATGTAGGAAATCTGCCCTGAGCTGCATAGTGGGGGCAGTTTCATAAAATGGATGAATGACAGATGGTGGGGCTTTTGCAGGAAGAAGGGCGAGAGTTATAAGGCTTATTTGGAAGGTGCCAAGGTATCTGTGTAATGACTTTGTCCCAATGTGAGACAGAGAGCATGATGTTCTTAAATGGGCTGATGAGAATTAGTTTAATGAAGTCTGACCTTGGTGCCCAGTCATTTGGCAAACATTTCTCCAGACAAGTAATGAATAAGTTCTTTCCTTGTTACAGACTTTTTTGTAGAAAACTTAGAGCCATCCTTCTCTTGTTTAATCTGCTTCAGAAGAGGAGAGAATATGGGGAAAACCTAGGCAGGTTGAATCATAAAGAGCATGAACTTCTTCAAGTTCTGAAACTGGGTTGTTCAGACATTATCAAGTGTTGGCCTTGGTACCCACCACTTGTTGAGCAAATGACCTCATTGATGGTAGAATGTTGTTGATGCATTGCAATAAAATAATTTCCTGGTGGTTGCCACTGTGTGGTAGGTGACTCTTCGCAACATTTGTTGGATAAAATTTTGATGTCCAAACTGATGAAGAATGGTTACAAGACAAGAGCTTTATGTGAACCTGTTAGATAGGCTGGCAGAAGGAATAGATAGAGACAGTAGGGTCAAAAAGTTTGAACAGTGGTGCTGTGTTGGCTTTCCTTTAGCTTCACTTCAAAGTTTTAGTTTCCCTTCTTATCTTGTAAGGCTCTTGATCTGCACTTATAAGTGCTAATTTCTTGCATTGTACCTTTCTTCTTTCTTTTGAGGGATTAACTTGCCAAAGCCACAACTCTTTTCTAGGGTTCATGATCTAGTGGCTGCTAAATTATAGCCCATAGACCTTCCATGGACTTTGAGATAGCCCCCAAGATTACAATGAAAAGAGATATCTCTGTCCATTTTTCAGAATGAATGTTTGCCAACTCAGTAACTCCTTTAGCATTCCAGTGCAGATGTACCAACTGTTACAGACGCTTTTTCCATTGATTGCAATTGTGCAGACAGAGGCTATCTTATTAAATGCTGCTGTAGAGTGCCCATTTTATGCCAACAACTATAAATTAGTAATGAAGGGCAAGAGGGTCTATTAGTGGATAGTATGTAGGTTCAGTCTCTCTGTCAAACATGCCCTGAATCTTAGTTCTTACACACAGGAGAGTATTAGATGTTCAGCCTCATTATACTCCTTTTTCTCCTCAACCTGAATATTAGTATAGCTCCATCAGAATATTAAAGAACACATGATAAGAAATTGTAGTGTTTCTCAGGACAGAAGGTTCTAAGAACTTCTGGTATAGGTCTGTTCTCATAGAGAACACAAGCATAGGAAGATGTATGACACAATTACTTTTGCTAATCTTCCTGAAGCTATGCTCCCTCCGGATGTGTAAATATCAATGCCCAGAATTCCCTAGCCAGCATGATGGCAGCTGAGAATTCTGGGAGTCAAGATCTATGCATCTGGATGCTGCCACAATGGAGAAAGCTGATATACTTACTTAATTATTACATTCACATAGTTAAACTCAATGTTCCATAAATAATATTGCCAGATATCTTCCATTCAGGCCCTAATCAGAACAAGATCTGCTTAGATTTGGCTATGGTTTGCAACAGGTCCTTTTAGATAATAACCTATGGCTCAGAAAAGTGTAAGGAGGGCCTGTACCTTTCCTCTGCAGCATGGGATGAGAATAGTTTCTCTTCTTGTTTCATTGTATGCTTCAGCATTTTTCAAATTCCTTGAGTGGTTGCTACTTTCAGTGTGATCATTGTGCAAGTATTTTTCTTTTTAATATTTCCAGAGTCGATGGGAAAGCCAGCAAGATATATCTCAGATTTCAACAGATTCCAGGTCCACAAGTCTCTGTGGTTCTACTCAGCAAAATGGCTCTACAGACCAAGGTATATATATTCCTAAGCTTTACAGCAGATCGATGATGTGAGCTAACATTGCAGCTGTAGATTCCTCCCCACCTCTCCCCACTTTTAAATAGGAATAAGGCACTTTTTGGCAGCTAGGAGCCATACTTTTGAAATAGTTTCTAATTTCTTTGGTGGATGAGCACCACATTGGATAGACAGTCATGATTTGATGCCATGAGCAAGGCCAGGATTTCCTTTGGCTTTATGTTTGTTATCCTAAACAAAGACTTGAACAGAATTTATTTCTTTTTCCACCAAATTGCTTGGCTGTTTCTTGGCAGCCAAATTCAATAGTACAATTTCTGGGAGCTTTCAGGGGCTCAGTAATCACACCCAGCCCAAGGACCACACGTTGTTCACCCATGTATTTAAGCAAAGCCAGCCCATATATTTAGATATAGTTCAAGGTGGACTTCAGTAGCATTGTGAATGTTCAAGAGACAGGTGGCAGCATTATGAATTAGACTGTTTGTTTGTCTGTTCAGGACTTGGTAGCCTGGCTGCCTCTTACTTGAATCCCGTGAAGTCCTTCGTGCCTCAGATGCCAAAGCTGCTCAAATCTCTGTTTCCTGTTAGAGATGAAAAGAAGGGCAGGCAGACATCTCCCCTTGCTCAACAGGTACAACAACATCCTACTTAGAGGGTTGCAGGCAAGAATAAAAGTGAAGTTGTTCACGAATGAAAGGGGTTTGGAGTGGATTCCTGAGGTTAGCAAAAGATTGTTCCCCCAGGGCAGTGTTCACCCAGGGCAAACCTTGTCTTACTCCAGGAGTACATTTCAGTATAATGTACAGTTTGGGAGGCAAAAAACTAAATGTAGTCCATCAGCCAAGACTGGTTGCTAATTACTCAATACTACTTGCTACTACTATTTCCTGAGGTTTTTTGGCTTCTCCAATCTGGTGTCCTTCTGGATCTTATAACACTACTGTTGTGTTCTGAGAATTGTAATCTGAACCCATCTGAAAAGGATCATTTTGGAAAGCCTAGCTCAGAAATTATGCATTGAATGGTTCCAGGCTTATTTCATTCACTGACCAAAACATGTCAGGATCTCTTTAGGTCTCTACCATTGGGAAAGTGCAAGAGAAGGAAGTCATTGGAAGAAAACTAAGATGTGGTTCCATCAATTAATAAAGATTTCAAAGCTGCTGAAAGATGATCAGCATCTTTGGAATAGTAAACATTTTGGATTGTGTATAATAACTTGGAGTAGTGCCATTCAGAGAAGGTTACTTACAAGCTACAAAAAATCTCACAGAAAGAGTAGCTGGGCCTTTAAAGAGGGGAATAAAATGTGATTATTGTTTTATCAGAAGAGATTGATTTAGAAGTCATCCTTGTATTGCATTATCAGTGTGATTCAAGGTGATAGGTTAGTATCTGGAAAATAATATTGAGGGTCAAATTGATTTTCCCTGTTTAGATGGAGTTTTCTTTTTAGTGCAATCACCAGTCTTTTGAATATCCCCGGCAAGCTCCTGAGGTATTCAAGTGGCTTAGCTGACATTTCAGTTATGTTTATTTTGTTTGGTTTTGCTTGTGCAAATGTTCTAGATGGGCTTGTTTTTCATGTTGGGTTTGCCCCAAAGTTAAAGTGTAATAAAAAGGCAAACTTGAAGCTGCAGTGAGCTTAAACATAAGTATATATGTTTATTCCATGTGTGTTTTGCTTTTGAAAGAGAAGTTCCAAATAGTGGCATTTCAGTATAATCTTTTATTCTATTACACTTGCAAACATGGCTTTAAAAATAGCTATTTGAGTTGCAAAACCAGCACATACAAGAACTATTTTAGAAAGTTGGAGAGAAACACAGTTAGGCTCTCCAGTGCGAATTACAAGTTAGTAGCAGTCAAGCACCAGTTCTCAGCTAACCTTCAGGAAATGGTAATGCAGAAGAGCATCACAAAGTGGTCTTCAGTTCTCAAGCCAATAGTTCATACTGTTTTATGGGAAAGTGGGGGAAAATGATAAGCAATTAAATGTTACATCATCGTTTCACAAATCAACCAGAACCAGGCTTGGTCAACAATTGCTTTAGACTTAACACTTCCTTTTACAGCAGGGGAAGCAACATGTAGCCCCAACTCATCTTTTTGCAATTCCCAAAGCCCCCTTGACACATGATTCCTAAAAACTGGCAACACAGTTGCTTGCCATTTGGATGTGGGAGGCCATGAAAACAGAAACATAATCTGTAAAAAGGCAGATCATAATTAACAAATAAAGCAACCCCCCTCTCCCAGTTTTCTCCCCCTGTATGCATATGATCTGGTCCCATCCTCTTCATGGTCCCCATCTTCTGTAAAAGTATTAAACATGGCCCTTGGTACCAAAAAGTTGTCCATCTCTGTTTTACAGATTTCTTCCTTCACAAAACTGAAGCATTCATAGGCAATACTCCTTAAACCATTTTTGAAGAGAAAATGTGGTCTTTTTTTAAGTGAAACACATTTCAGCTGCCCTTTTGATTCCTAATACATTTGCAATAACTTGCAATTAAATTTTCAGAAAATTCGCTAAATAAAGGCTGATTGTAGAGAGTAAGGGAGTGACCTTGACAGAAATACGCAAGAACCATTACCTAGGCAAAGGGGGCTGAAACATTATTTAAGTCCTGGGAAACAAGGCAAATGCCTCCCTGCTTCATTGGAGTGTAAGAAGGAGAGGAGGTACAGCACAATCAGACTTGCAAGATTCTATTATAGACAATTTCAATAAAATGTACTGGTCTTCCTGTGGAGTTTCTGGTCTGGTCTACTAGTGGGGATGATACTAATAGACTTTATTTATCAGCTGGAGCCTTTCAGTATCTATAAGGGACAGTTCATGCATAGTAGATATACTGTAGAACCCACTTTAAAAACACTTAAATCTTATGGTGAGTAATTCATGCACCCTTCTTTTTCATCTGAACTAGGCACAGAACAAGAGTAAGGGAGCCATTGCAAAATCTCCCCAATCCCCTGGAACCCCTAGGCCCGAACACATAGCCAGATCTTGAGAGACTTGCAGAATATTAAGAGGGATAAGGCTAACCTTACTTCCGGGCAGAGAAGAACTCAGAAGTTCTTTCTCAGGTGCTGCTTTGTCTCCTAAACATTCATGGTTTTATTAGTTTTCCAGCCTGAGTTGAGCGTAAGGCTTCCTAATGTATGTCTACTGAAGGTCCCTAACAATCTAGATATAAATATTCTCCTTACCTCATAGCTGTGAACCTCCTTCTCTAACAAGATCACTAGCATTTCCTTTAACTCTACCACCTTATCTTGTGAGGATTATCAGAGTGAAGCTGAGGGATAGGGAATAAAATCATGGCTTAAAAATAGAAGTGCATTTTCTATTTGGCAATACACAGATGCACTAAGTGCTCATCATAAATTTTACTATTGTTGCTGGAACTGATGTTTCCATAAATCACAGTAGATGAAAGTGCTGGGTGCTTAAGTGTTATCAATAAGTTTAAATAGCGCTGCTGGTGGAATGGAGAGCATTTTGTTGGCTTTCCTTGAGTCTATAACAGAGGACAGTTGTACTCCAAGACTATAAAATAATAATAATAATAATAATAATGATGATGATGATGATGATGATGATGATGATACCAGCAGCAGCAGCAGCAGTTCCTGTGAAATCTCTTTCTCTAATCTGCACTCTAGCATCAGCCCCAATTCAAAGAAGCTTTGCCACTTGATTCCGCTGAATACATATAAAAATTTGTCCTGGATGATGGTGGTAGTAGAAGAAAATCCTCTCGGCATGTGGGATACTAGCTATCAGGGAGGATGCTAGACTGTATCCTTTTCCCTGACTTGCTAGTTATCTACATGCAAAGAATATTTTAGATGGCAAACAGGAGTGGTAGAGAGAGAATGCCATCATGCTTGGCCATTGGAGGAACACATAAATTGGCCATCAGAGGAACAGTTCAAGTGCTTAATAAAGAGAGTGGTGAGGGTCCTGCCAAAGCCTGATTGTGCCCCAGGCAAGAAGAGGTTAACTAGCCTTTTGTCTGTATCTGCTATTGCATGACAAGGCTCAGTGACCAGCACTAAAGCTGCTAAGCTTCTGTAAACCATCTTGATCATTTCTAAATAAAACTTTAATTAAAGTTGTTTAACTGGCAGAGATGCTTTTTCTCAGAAAATCTTTCATGAATCCTGCAAGGGAAGCCATACTGCTTTGTAAAAATCATAATCTTCAGGCTTATCATCACCAACCAGCAGCTGTCTGTTCTTGAGACACCACTGCAGCGTATTAGACAGTCTTCAGCAAAAGAAGTATAAATCTGAAGACAGAGCAATCTGATTATTGCAGTGATGAGTCTCCTGGTGTAGAAGTAGACAGCATTTTAAAGGGTCAGGAGTGGACATTTGCATTCCAACCTTTTGGAGTGCTGCAAGAAGTTGGGACTTCAGCCCTCTTTTGCCTTTGGCAGAAGTTAAAGGTGAAGATGGAACAGGAGGACTTGGGAAACTAAACTACTCCCATTCCATCCTTTAAAAGCACTCCCAAACCTGTGAAATGGCTCAAAATTCAGTCCAAAATGCCCAAACTTCAGTGATGTTATTTTTCAGCATTTTGGCATGGTTTTAAGTGTGGGAATTAAAGCAGTTTACCTCCATCAGCCTTCCTGTCCATCTTCACCCTTAATTGGAGGAAGGGGGGGGGAATGGTGATGATGATGATGATGATGATAAAAATTGAGTAAACTTGTATGCCACCCATCTCTCAATGACTCTGGGTGGCTCATAACAAACAAAGAAATTACAATGAAATCAATAAAACATAAAAAATAAAGATAAAAGGTGGCAAGCAGGATGAAGTGAGGGGCCTCACTCTCCCTTGCAGAAAAATTGGATTTGACCCAGAAGCATTGCAATCTGGGAGATGTTTTCAGAGGGGTGTTTGATGGGGTTATATGCAAGCCATTGGTTAACTATCCCTGCCCCTCCCCCCAGCGCAAGCTTTGTTATCTTTTCATCCTGCTATTTAATAAAATATTTTCTAAAACTTTGCTAATATATTACTAAGTTTTATGTTGCAGTGGAACTTATCTAATGACTTTTATGCTGTGGTGGAACTTTTTATCTAATTTAATTTCTCATTTACTTTATTCAACTTAGACGCTACCTGACAGCTCACAGCATAGAAACAGCATGACTAATATGCAATCCAAATACAGCAATAATCAAGATCCAGTCAAGAACATGTCATACACCCAACAAGGGACTCCCGCCGTCCTAGCCCAGGGCCTGGGAGGACCATCTGGGTGGGAGCCACCTGGATCTCAGAGGAAACCTCATTCCATTCGGCAGGCACCACGACAGAGAAGGCACACTTCAGAGTTTCTGATAGGTAACACTACTTAATCAAAGGGACGCCAACCCTGTCAGATCAAACTGGCCAGGTCAACACCACAGGAGATAGACAGTACCTCAAGTAACCAGGCATGGTGCCATGTAGACTTTATAAGTTACAACCAGTACCTTGAATCGTACCTGGAAGCAAACCCACAACCAGTGCAACTCATGAAGCAGGGGTGTCACATGGCTTACTGAGGCATGGCTATTAGTGCCCATACCATTACATTCTGGACCAGCTGTAATTTCCAAGTG